GTTGGCCAGACTAGAAGTCTCCCGTACACCAGTTACTCAGGTGTCCCCCAGGGTTCGGTACTGGGCCCACTGCTATTTATTGTCTATGCCCGCGGCATAGCAGAAGAACTATCGCCGTTTAATGTGGGAGCAATCCAATTTGCTGATGACATCGCTATACGATGTAGCAGGGAGTCTGCGGAAGCTGTTTCTGCACACCTTTCAGCTGCTGTTCAGCACCTGGCCACCTGGCTGAAGGGCCGTGGTTTAATTCTTAATGAAAGAAAGACACATATATTGCCTATTCACCCATCCCCATCTCAAGCACTTGAGCTGCATGTCATTTGTAATGGGCAGACGCTGCCTGTTGTGAAAACGGCCAAGTATCTTGGCCTACATTTCGACTCAGACATGAGCTGGAACACCATGACAAGCCATGTTGCACGCCGCGTTGCCGCTAAGATTGGGCTACTAAATCGAAGTGCAGCATGTTTGCCTTTTTCTTGCCGTGCTCAGTTTTTCAGGTCCTTTATACTATCAGAATTTGACTATGCATCTGCTGCCTATGCCCCTTTCTTATCGTCTTATCAGGATAAGCGCCTAAATAGTTTGTTCAAACATGCGGCTCGATCGGTATGCAGGGCAGCCCCTCGCACTCACACGGCTCCCTTACTTGAGAGCGTGAATGCCCATACCCTCAGCATATACACCCGCATGCACATTCTCGTATTCATTTGGCGCTGCCTGAACAAATCTTCAAGTACTCTGTTTGCAAGCTTTTTCACCCGTAGTCCCTCTCTCCGAACACGAGGAGGGAGCAGCAAGTTACTCATCATTCTTGTCTCCCCCACTGCATCCTCAGCTAAGCGCATTAGCCATGCTGGAGCTATCCTGTGGAACCAGCTCCCAGACACAGCACGCCTCGAAAGAAAGCGCTCCACTTTCAAATCGCTAAGCCTGGCCTTTCTGTTAGGCAGTACCGTCAACTAGGATGAACTCATCTGCTTCACTACCTCTCTCTCTCTCCCTCTCTCTCTCTCTCACTCACTCACTCCTTTCTTCCCGGTTGCCGTGCTTGTGACTTTTTTCCCCTGCTGCCGTGCTCATATTGGTTATCTAACTACAGCTGTATCCTCTTCTTGGTTCTGTTTGTCCGCTTATTATTATATATTTTTCTTTTCTCTTATTATCAGTGGGACCATTGTCATTAGGCTTAGGCCTGTTTTGGAACTCCACTTTAAATAAAGCCAAAAACAACAACAACAACAACAACAACAAAGTATCATTCGATGTAGTGCAAAGTAACATACTGAAGAGCTAAACCTCGAAGACCGGGAAACGAGTGCAGTTGAAATTTCAAGAGTGCGACTGTGACGTACTTCATGCTAAAGTTGACGAGGTGCTTGGTTACGGGGAAAGTCCCCAGTGCACAGGCAATGCGTGACATACACCAAACTGATCGCTAAAACAGCCTTGTTGTGCTGGTTTTTGAATCGTCGCTGAACATTGAGTATGAGCTACAAATCGAAAGAAATTGTTGCTGAGTGTAAAATAGCACTACAAAAGCGCATTGGAGCAGCTTTCAAAGTATTTGTAGGCTCCCGCGCCTAGAGAGCACTGAGCATCATGGATCGACAGGGGAGATCCTCAGCTTTCCAGAGAGCCTAAGATGATGAAAATCCGTTAATGATGAGTGAAGTAATGCCTATTGTAAACATTGCAGGTAGGGCCAGCATGGGTGCCGCTGACTTGCACATTGATATTTGTTTGCACACTGCACAGTTTGTACGAGGACTTGCAGATTTATGCAGTGCATGTCTACAGCTTATTTGAATGCGCGCCTACTGCACAGTACTAGTCCCTTGTATAGTACGCGAGTTGTAGTGCGGGGTAGCATACAGGTGTGAACGCTACGCACTTTTCATGCAAGCTACTTTTCTGCATTCTGTACTCGTACTTGCTTTCATGCACATGTCGCTGCCATACGCGATACGGGCCGGGTTTGTGTGTTGGTTTTGAACCATGTGGTTCTTCTTTTCAGTTTAGTTGTTCTTTGGTTGCTCCGCGAGTTGTTGCTTTGGTTGGAGACAAAGATGGCTTTCCGTTTCAGTAATATAATGTAATGTAACTATAACTGATAGTATACTGTTGAGTGTTGGGATGCGTTGGGACCCCGACACCAATATTTGGCGACCACCCAGTAAGATTTGAATCGTGCATCGTAGCATGCTGGCTTAGCATGGCCGAGTCCGAAGCTGAAGGGAAATCGCCTGGTGATAGTGGAAGCGCTGAGGCTTTTGGATGGATGAACTTGGAGACGAGTTACCTAAAGCTTGGCAAGGATAACGGGTATTCTGGCGAGGCACTGGTCTCTTTCGTGGAGCGCAAGCTCACCGAAGCAACCGATAGGGACCAGAGAGCACAAGAGCGTGCAGAGAGAATCGCTGAGAAGGAGCTGGACAGTAGGAAAGAAATAGAAAAACTCCAGGCCGCGAGTGGTAGTGGCAGTAACGACGCGCAGAGGCCCCCACAAGTTGGACGTGCCGAAATACACCGACAAACCGGACATCCGGCGTTATTTGATAACATTTGAGGCTGTTGTTCAGCAAAATGGCTACAAAATATTGACATGGTTGTTGGCCCTCCGTTCGGCTGCGATGGGGACAAGGCTTGAACCGGTGCTGGATCATGTCACAACTTATGAAAGCGCTAAAGTTCAAGTGACACGTAGTTTTGGCAAGACTGCCGAGAAGACGTGGTCCGACCTCTTGTCTCTGCATCAGCAGACGGAGGACACGTTTTTTCCGGTACGTAACCCATGTAGTGCAACTGGTGCAAGAGTGGGCATCGCTATCTGGAGGGCCGCAGGGCCAGAAGCAGAGCAGTGGGAACAGTGAGATGTTCATGGCAATCGTCCGCCAATTTGTGCTCCAGGGATGCTGGCTTGACCTCCGTGCGTACTTGCTGGAAAACAAGATCGGCGAGAAAACGTTGGAAGAGATCACGGAACTGGGTACAGCGTATCAGGAAGCCCATGGTGTACGTTCTGGGTCCGACCAGAAACCCATGGCCTGGGAGCCCGAGGGTGCATCAGCACAGTGCTTCACGCTGTCCACTGCCGATGATGAGAACAAGCTCCACAGAATGCCTGTTGCTCAGCGGCGCGAGTATGCGCAAACCAATGGCCTTTGCTCCCGTTGCCTGCGGACAGGGAACAGCCGGATGTTACTCCACCACTATGCTCTCTATCTCTTCCACTAGCACTCCAGCACACTCGCACATGCACTGAGCCACAACTATCAACAAGGAATCAAGAGAGTTGAAATATTGAAATAGTAGTAAAGTTGGGAGAAAAGAAAACTGTTCTTTTTCCACGAGATCCAAGATCCATCAGGAAAAAGGACATGCACCAAATGGTTACCCTGTCGTCCATTGACGCGTAATCATGGTAATCACAAACTAGTGCAGCGACCAAAGAAAAGACACAAGTGAAGAAGAAGAAGAAACAGCGCTGCAGCAAGAAGATCGGATCGCTGCAGTCGCTAAAATGCACTAGCCTACTGACTGTAGTTCCACGTGAGCATGCAGTCACGTGGTCATAAACAGAGTGCGTACACACTCACGTCATACCGATACGTCATACATGACAAAAGAAAAGAAAGGAAAGTCACGCGCGAGTCAAACAAATCAAAGAGCGCGAGACTACGTACTGCAAATATTACGAAAAAGAATTTGTTTGAGAACAAATGCACAAGACGAGGAATTTGTTTGAGAACAATTGCACAAGAATATATATCTCTTCGAAACTAGAATGGAGTCCGTGATGAGAATTCCAACGAGCCTGGACGCAGCTACAAAGTAAGAATACAATCAAATAACTAATATCGTCAGAACTATTGTAACAATACAAGCAGTCGATTTACCACAGTGTTATCTCTATATTTACACGGAGAATGTGTGATAGCAGTGTTACTTGCAGCAAGTTTGGCAACAAACACCATACCCTGCTTCATGATAACAGTAGCAATGGTAGCAGTGATTTCAACAATAGCAGCGGCAGCAGCAGTGACAGCAGCAACAGCCACAGCACCTCAGCAGCTACAGTCAATGCCCTCGGCGGCGCCTAGTGTTTTACAGCCGACACACTCTCCCTCTCACCTAGCGATTCAGTGGAAGACATGGACGAGGCGCACCCTATTGAAGTGCTAAGCAGCGACATTTGATCCGCTCGACTTGGTGTCACCTGCAGTGTTGACAGGCAAGATCCTCCTGCAAGAGGCCTGGAAGGAACAAGGCAAGTGGGATGATCCACTACCTTCTCCGCTCGCCCAGCGTATAGCGACAGCCAATGGTTGGACTTGTAAAACCTGCACTAGGTTTTTGTGGGGAGGATGTCGCTGACTTGCACATTGATATTTGTTTGATATTTATTTATTTGTACCTTTGCAGCACTGCACAGTTTGTACGAGGACTTGGAGATTATTTTATGCAGTGCATGTCTACAGCTTATTTGAATGCGTGCCTACTGCGCAGTCTAGTACTAGTCCCTTGTATAGTACGCGAGTTGTAGTGCGGGAAGCATACAGGTGTGAACGCTACGCACTTTTCATGCAAGCTACTTTTCTGCATTCTGTACTCGTACTTGCTTTCATGCACGTGTCGCTGCCATACGCGATACTGGCCGGGTTTGTGTATTGGTTTTGAACCATGTGGTTCTTCTTTCAGTTTAGTTGTTCTTTGGTTGCTCCGCGAGTTGTTGCTTTGGTTGGAGACAAAGATGGCTTTCCGTTTCAGTAATAATTATAATGTAATGTAACTATAACTGATAGTATACTGTTGAGTGTTGGAATGCGTTGCCGGCTATCCGTGTAGTAAGTGCTCGGGCACTGAAAGGGTTAAAGACATTTGGCTCGGTTTTTTCCCCAGATGGGTAGGATCACGTGCAGGTCAGGTGTGTGCCCATGTTCATGAGGAAACTGATAACAGGTAAATTTACACAACTTTCTTTTTCTTTGGTACAGAGTCTGCCGAATGCGCTCCGCTCAACGTTGGCAATGCCACTGTATCCAGTGGCCCATATAGAGTGAACAGTATCGTCAACATCACATGCAACGCAGGCTTTGAGCTCTCAGGAAACGCAATGGTCATATGTCTGGACAGCCAGAAATGGTCTTCCATACCGATTTGCAACCGTAAGTGCCGGGTCATTACTACTATTCGAGTAGAAAAGTGTGACATTCATGTGTCCATCTGAATCTAAAACTTCCCAACAACCTATTTGTCTTGTTCTTGATTTGTCGACTTACAGGAGTACCACAACTACCAGAATGCCCTGTGCTGGTTGTTTCCAATGCAACCGTGTCAAGCGGCTCAAATAAAGTTAACAGTATCCGCAGTGTCTCATGTAATGCCGGCTTTGAGCTCTCGGGCAACTCAATGGTCATATGTTTGGCGAGCAAGAGTTGGTTCACCTTGCCTGTTTGCAATCGTAAGTGTTTTCTCTCTTCTATCTGTGGGACATGCCTATTTACTGTGAAGTGCATTGGAACTTCATAACACGAGACCAAAGTAAAATCGAAATTCCCAGGCAAGACCCATGTGAAGTTGGTGCAGGTGGGTGAATTTCTTTTTCCCATGTACTTGGTCCGACTTAATAAAATGTGTGCTTCGGTTCAAAACTCAAGCCTATGTCCAAAGGAGCACCTGTACTAAAAAATCGACCAAGAGACGATAGGTAGATAACTACTGTCTCGTTTCTTTGCCTGACCTTCTAGTTTTCATCTCTGCTGGTGTCTCAGGGCGCTTCTTCAAGTGTGTCAACCTGCAAAACGTCGACATTAATTTCATCTCCTCCGAGCTACACGGCGCTTCCTTGATTTTTCACTCCATAGGCACGATTTAGACGATCGTCGTCGCCTCCTCCTCGTGCAGTACGCCTGCCAGAATGGTGGCTGTAGGTGTTTTCACCTGACGCTCCAACGACACTTTCAAATGAGGCGAACAAGTAAACCACCACGCATAAAAAATCCCTTCTCATCACCGTGTGCCGCGCGCGTAGAGCTACTGAGTCTGATCTGTGTCGACATTACTGTCACACATTCAGCTGCATCAGACCATGCGTGCTCCTCCCTGCCTGTTTCACGAATCCACTGGCCCCGGAGACTGGCGATCTTTGTTTCAGTCAACTCGTCACTCAGTTCACACCAGCCAACACGGTTCAATCCAACAATGGGATTAATCAATACATGCAATAAGAATAAATACAAGGAAAACGGTTCGGGATAATAAATTAGGACACTCAGGATCTGGCCGCCATTCTCGGGCTCTCTCTCTTGATCTCCTCGACCTTGCGCCAGGATCCGTCAATATGTACAATCACTACAACAAGTATCACGTGCGACCTACGTCGCTGGTAGACTGCATGGTACTACCCAGCGCTAGGGATAGGGCATGCCAAGTATGTGGCGAATGCGTACAGAAGGAACACAGTGCAGGTAGGTCTAGGATGCTTCTAGCATACTAGTATCAGCAGATTACTCAAAGCGCATCACTGACAGAGACAAAACATACATTACAACCAGAGGCATGCAACTATCAGCCATAGTTCAGTGGGACTACCACATTTCCCCCCTTTTCAGAAAAAAGACCAGTGGTCTACCGATAGCGACTTGGCGTTTGAGTCTTACGCTGCGGACGACTAGAAGCTGGTTGAACCGTACTAGGGTTTGCGGTAACGATGGCAGATGGCTGAGCACCGCATTCGTGCAGTTCCTCGTGTACCTCGTCATCATCGTCGTCTGTAGCCACATTATCGCCTGACCGAAGCTGTACGGGCGGGGTGTGATAACCTCCTCGCAGCAGTAGATCACCCGGACGTTTGCCGGTAGTCGTGTTGACGGCTGACCGAACTGCTCGAAGTGCCAAACGAAGTGCGTCTTCTGTTCGTGTCTCGCCAGATTGTCGCATGTGTTGCTTCAATGTCCGGTGGAGACGCTCAAGTGGATGCTGCTGCGGCGTGTTGGGGACAGTGCACTCGTGACTGATTCCCCATGACTCGAGCTGTTTGCGGAATTCGTCGCTGCAGAACGGTGAACGGTTGTCGGCTATTAGGTGTCGTGGCATGCCAAACAGAGTGAATATTTGGTCCAGTGCCCCGATGAGGTCACTTGTCTTCTCGGCTGGCAAACGTACAACTGCAGGATATCGGCTGTATAAATCCAGAAGGGTTAGGAAAACGCTCTGCTGGTAATACAACACGTCAATAGCGACGGTGTGCCAGGCATGAGGAGGTAGTGATGTTGGGCGCTGAGCACCAGCTGGAACATCAGTGGCTGAAGTCGACATTGCCAGAAGACCTAACTGGATGGAGGCCTGTTCTCCTAATAGCGCGGGCACCGTGCACTGTGTGTCATCGACTACAAAGATAGTCTCAGTGATTTCGCGGCCCTGATAGCTCAGGTTACCATCAAAAACTCCCACGGCTGTTATGCGTTGCGTTCCCACGGGCTGAAGTGGGCATGGCGGCGGTGACAAGACGTACCCCGATGGGAGCGCCGACTTAGGGATAATCGAAACCCTGCTGGCAGAGTCCACTCTTAGCGACAATGTGTGTCGGCTGTCCAATGTTACCTGCCTCAGAGGAAGCGTGAAGGCGGTCTTCTCTGCCTGCACCCCGAAGGTTTCATAGGACTCTGGTGTCTGGGCGGACTGTACGGCTGGTGATGCTGCACCCGTTCGGAGCGACGATACGGCTGGTGCGGTCCGATTCTGTTGCGCTGATGCTGCGTTCGGCAACTGGGTCTGGGCACTGCGGTCCGCTCGACCAAAGTCGGAACGGCACACCGACGAGAAGTGTCCCTTACGTCCACACTTGGCACAGAACATATGGACCGCTGGGCAGTGCGGCTTGCCTGGAGCGTGCTTCTCCCCACAATATCCACAGCCGGATGTTGGCAATGTTGTGTGTCGGCGTTGATGGATAGCGGCATAGCTCACCTCCAGTACTGGAGCGTTGTTAGCACAGTCCTCTGCTAACACGACTGCCTGCGCCTTGGCTGCGGCGGAGCTCAAGTCCTGCGCATCGTGCTCCAAGACACTCTTTCGGGCACTGGCCGAGCTGAGCCCCCGTGCAAACAGGTGGACTCCCACAACTCCCAGTAGTTCCTCGGCAGTACGAGTGCTGGTCAGGTTGCAAACCCTCATGTCCTTTTGCACCCGCAGCCGAAAGGCCTGTACAGTCTCCCCAGGACGTTGCTCGACTGCAAACAATTCCGCCAAACGGGACGCTGCGCTCTGTTTCGAGCCGAAATATTCTTGGAACAATTTGATAAGATCGTTGTAGGGATTAGTTGCCGTAGTTGGCACTGTCGGGTAGCTCTGCCATAAGTAGTGACTTGCTGACTCGCCTAAATTGGCAGCTGCTGCCAAATACTGCTTCGACTGATCCTTCACTTCGTGGAGTGCAAAGCCAATCTCCAACTGACTACGCCAAGTAAGGAAATGATCGTTTCCCAGCTCGTGGTCCAGGTCAAGACGGACGCCGACTTTTACTTTTTCTGCCATTTCCCACGTGCGTGGTGAAAACTACAAACTTCAACGAGTGACTTACTAAGAAAAGAATCCTGTTCACTGCGCCAATGTTTCAGTCAACTCGTCACTCAGTTCACACCAGCCAACACGGTTCAATCCAACAATGGGATTAATCAATACATGCAATAAGAATAAATACAAGGAAAACGGTTCGGGATAATAAATTAGGACACTCAGGATCTGGCCGCCATTCTCGGGCTCTCTCTCTTGATCTCCTCGACCTTGCGCCAGGATCCGTCAATATGTACAATCACTACAACAAGTATCACGTGCGACCTACGTCGCTGGTAGACTGCATGGTACTACCCAGCGCTAGGGATAGGGCATGCCAAGTATGTGGCGAATGCGTACAGAAGGAACACAGTGCAGGTAGGTCTAGGATGCTTCTAGCATACTAGTATCAGCAGATTACTGAAAGCGCATCACTGACAGAGACAAAACATACATTACAACCAGAGTCATGCAACTATCAGCCATAGTTCAGTGGGACTACCACAATCTTGTGACGAATCGCGATCGCGGCTCCGAGGAGTCGGCGAGGACTCCGCACCATTCACGTACTCACCCTTTCTGCGCTTCAGTTTTCCAGCCAGGTTGTCGCCTGAAAGTCGACCTCAAGAGCGGTTGTTTATATCGATCAACTTTTCGACGATCTCGTCTGTGCTCTTGATTCGTCGGCCGCCACATCGTGAACGAATGAGAGAGATCAGCGCAAACTGCATGAGTTTCTGGATGACGCGTTTGCAGAACTTGATTCTTCCAAGGAAACAGCAACTGCAGCGTTTTCAATCCGCCAGGAAGCACCCGAGAACGATCGCCCAGGAGTTTCTGGTATTCCGTGACAATTCCCCATCGCAGTGGGGTGTTGATTTCAGCACCAGGCCTTGTCTGTGTTGCGCGAGAAGCAACAGGAGTCCTCTGACGACCAAATTTGCACGCAAAATGCTCGAGTCAACTAGGATCCTGAGACACTGCCTCCTTTGGGGTTGGAGCCATTTCTTCTTCAACATCACAAATCGACAACTAAAGGATAGTGTTAGGTAGCTGGAAAGTTTGTTCCGTCTTGAGATTATTTGAATTTGTTTGGCTGGCGTTCGACTCGAAACGCACATTTTAATAAGTCGGACCAAGTATGTATGCTTGCCATGCTGAACGTTTTTTACAGTCTTTTCCGGTATTTTTATTTGTTAAAAAAAAATAGAAAACAGGTACGCAGTTTACCCATTCAATTTCTGTATTTCGGCCAACCAGGGCCCTGATCTGTACCTCAGGGGGTCGAACAAGCCCGAGTTTGTGTGACTCAACGTCATAGATCTACTCACACACACAGCGAACTTGTGGTTGACGAGTGTGGTTGCGAGTTTTTTACGTCTGACGTCTTGCTCCCCCAACCGGGAGCATGGCGTCCATTGACTTCGGAATTTTGGATAGTGAAGGCTTGGAGTCACTGGCAAAGGCCAATAACGTCAAATGGGCCGGCCTAAGCCAAGTGCAATTGGCAGGCGCCCTGAGGGGAAAGTTGCAACCACTGGACGATCAGATCGACACACACAGGGTCACCAAGCAGGCAGGCGGATGTGAATGTACCAGTACTGATGCTACTGCGCTAACGAAGATGATGGTTGACCTGATGGAGACGGTCCGAAACCTGGTAGCAGAAGTTTCCGACCTACGAAAAATCTCCCTCGAAAAGGAGAAAGGAAAAGTTGCCGCCATTGCAGAGCTCAGGAAGGAGCTTCGCGCCCTGACACAACACCACCAGCCCATCGATGTCTCTAATCGCGCCCTCGACATCCACCAGGATGAGTACTCGTACCGTGCAGCTACAAACATTCCCGCAACGGGTGTACCAGTACCCACATCTGCACCAACAGGGCTTGAATCCGCAGCTCTGGGCGAGACATACACTAGTCGTACCCTCTCTACACCCGTACCCCGAACAAGCAACGCCAGTCGTACTACTGACAAGCCTGTCGGCACCAAGTACGACTGGTCGATCGTACGTGAAGCCGCCAACGTCCACAGGAAGCCCGCAGATCTGCGTGGAGGTAAGAAAATAACACGCAGAGTTGTATTCGTTGGGGGCATCAATATCAACTGCAGTGCTGATGATCTTGTTGCGTACTGTAGAAAGACGAATGTGGAAGTTACTGGCTGTAAACTGATCCCCTCCAGAACAGTGTATGGCACGTTGTACGCACATCTGACAGTTGCTGAGCATGACGAAAGAAATGTTCTGGAAAACGATTTCTGGCCCAAGCATGTAACAGCACGAGAATGGAAGTTCAAGAACCCACCCCTCCCCAAGAAATCATAAACTGTGATGTTGAATCCACACGCACCCATCTTTTTTCCCACTAGGACCACATCAACACCATCATCTAACAGTGTGTCAGGGCAACTGAACCCAGATGCACCTACCTTCACTCTCCCATCACCATACGATACCTCAGCCTTCATACCAAACAAACATCCCCATCATATGCGGCTAGCCACAACCAATGCTTGCAGCTGGTACCCAAAGGCCGATGAAATTAATAACATATTTGGTACTTCACTTGATGGTGAGCTGATCTACTCACCTCCCACCGCTTTAGGAGCTGCATCTGCGCCTTGATCCTTGAAGGGTGGTGGCGTTCCTACGGATGCGGAAAACCCGGCTTCCAGCCGAGTCTCACGCGAACCGTGAAATTTTGGTACTTCAGACATGGACATATTAGGCATCACCGAAACCTGGCTAACTCAGAAAATTCCTAACTCTGTATTATTGCCAACTGCCGCTTTTGACATAGTGCGAAGAGACCGGCCATCTCATGTCGCTCTGCGTGGCGGTGGTGTTGCTTTCTTACTCCGACCAGGACTCGCCTACGTCAGACGAGCAGACCTCGAGCCTGCCAACACCAACCTTGAAATCCTATGCATTCAACTTAAAAATGGCCACAAAGATGTCTATATTTTCTGCTGTTATCGGCCACCAAGGCAGGATCATTAAACCTTCCTCTCTGGCTTGCGTGAGTCCATCTCTTCTATTACGGACACTACGGCTTCCATTATCATCCTCGGTGACTTTAATGCTCGGCACAACGAATGGTATAGGCAGGACCCGAACACTGCTGCTGGAAGATGCCTTGTCGAACTGCTGGATGATACTGGTTTCACACAACTTGTACGCGACCGCCCAACACGTTTCTCCGCCGCAGGTCAGAGCTCTTCTCTCCTGGACCTTGTCCTCTGTAACCATCCATTCCTCATCCACAACCTCACCACACTTCCCCCTGTTTCTGATACCTGTCCTGTGGTATTTGATCTCGCAATACAGACTCGTTCCCAGCAACCAGTGCACTCTGATTTGCTCGTGAACAACTATGCAGCCACAGACTGGCCTGCACTTAATAACCACCTTTGGAGCCTCCCTCTTCTCGCTGCTGTACAAGAAGCCAGTAGTACAGATGAAGCATGGGTCTCCTGGCGAGCACTAGTTGACACAGCCATATTATCTTTTGTTCCGAAGGTTCGAAAACGAACAAATCGTTATGGAAAGCCTTGGTTCACCTCTGTGCACCATCGCCTCCGTCAACGTCGAGATCGACTATTTGCTGCAGCAAAACGTGTCAATACCCCTGAATGCTGGGCTGCTTATCGCATTTCAAGGAACTGCCTCGTCGCTGCCATCCGTAAAGCTAAACGTCACTTCTACGACCAGATGTCAGAAGGCCTTCATGCAGATCGAGGATCTTATGACTGGTGGAAGAGAGTCAAGAAAATGTGCCACATCAATTGTCCTCACACCGCTATACCTGATATACAAGGAGTCGATACCTTAGCGGTTACCGACCCTGAGAAAGCGAACATCTTCTGTCAACAGTTCGCCAAGAATAGTCAAGCTACACCGTCGTCGGATGCAGATCATCGTGATCTCGCCATGCCTTCTTCTTCGGAAACATTTGCCATCCGCCCTCTGTCTATCGTAGAAGTATTCAAGGCACTGTCGACCCTAAGTGTGCGAAAGTCTACAGCTGGCAGTCTTCCTAACAGGATCCTACGAGAGACAGCAGCAGTGCTCGCCCAGTCCCTCACTGCTCTCTTTAACCGCTTCACCACTTACCGATCCCAACCCCTTGAGTGGAAAGTTGCAATCGTTACCCCAATTTACAAGGGTAAGGGAAGTCGCAATGACCCTGCTAACTACCGGCCGATATCTCTGCTGAATGGTGTGGCAAAATGCTACGAAGCGTTAATCAGCCGCCAGGTGTATGCGTTTGTAGCGAAACACAAACTGCTGTCGCCGAAACAGTTCGGGTTTCGCCACCACCGAAGCACGGTTGACCAACTTGTGTATATCACATCAACTGTCAGCTCTGCATTTGATAACCGGGCCCAGTGTGATGCCGTCTTTCTCGATTTCTCGAAGGCATTTGATCGTACCAGCCATCGCCTCCTAGCCTCATGTCTGTCCGGTTGGTGTGCACCTGACTCATTCGCGTGGCTGATGGACTTCCTGGAAGGCCGGTCGATGTCTGTGCGGGTCGGAACCTCCTTATCAACCCATATGTCGCTCACCGCTGGTGTGCCACGAGGCTCCCACCTAGGCCCTCTATTATTGAACCTTTCTATCAACTCCCTTCCCAGCATTCCCCAATCCAGCGATCTGACTCTGTTTGCGGATGATTCCAACATGGTCTGCGTTTCTCCGCCTACTGTCGTACCCGCCGCGCACACTGCCTCCCTGCAACTAGACCTTGATAGATGTGTGAACTGGTCTCATAAAGCTGAAGCAGTTTTCAATGCTACCAAATGTGTCCATGTTCCCTTTCGCAGACCTAAATCAAACCCACCTGATCCCAGGACCGTCACCATGGCCGGTACGTTACTGACCCAGCCCTCTTCCCACCGCCATCTGGGCATCACCCTCACTCCTTCACTCAATCTGTCCCCCCATATTCAACACATTACCAGCACATTTCGAGGTCGGGTTTTTCTTTGAAACCACATGTCCAACTTCCTTCCTTTTCCTGCTGTGAATCTTTTGTATAAATGTTATGTTCGTCCCCTCCTTGAATATGCTGTTCCCGTTTGGATGTTTTCCGTTTCAGCCACCATGTCCACAACCCTCGATAAACTGCAGGCTACTGCTGCTAGAGCATACTTAAATCGTAAACTCAAGCGTCGGCCCGACTGGACGACTTCCAAAGAAGACCTCAATGTTCTGTCCTCTTGGGATTCTTTAGCATGGCGACGGCAGATTCTTGGCCTTGTCACTTCCAGCTACCCTCTTCCCAAAGCAGTCGTCACCCTTCATCCATAATTCTTCCTAAAGCTGGCACCTTCTTTCGTAAATCAACCCTTTTTTCTTTGAGTGTTGCCTGGAATAAACTTCCTGAAGATATTCGTTCACTCTCTACAACTGCGAAATTTAGTATTGCTGTTCGTCGGTATCATTCGCAATCAATGTTTTCTTTGAAAGGTATTCCTGACTTTTGTGTCTAGGCTAACCACATCTATGATAGTTTCAATAGTTTGTGTATATGTCAGTTATAGTAGTCCGCAATGCTGCTTTTCTAATTCTCATTATGATTAGCATGCAATGTACTACCCGAAGTACTGAATTTACTTCTTCTGTACTCTATATTCTAATGTATCTTCTACCTCTTCTCCCTTACGAACATACTTTCTCATTTTCCATACTTACTTAGGAGACTCCCTTCGATAGGCATCTATTTGCCTCTGGAGGATCCGTGAAATAAAAATCAATCAAAAAACATGATCAGTACTGTACATGTATATAAACTATTCAAAAATTTGGCTTTCGCTCGATTTTGGTGCGGGAGGCCCCGGGAATCTCTAATTTCTTTTGGTCTCTACTAAAATCCACATTTCAGTCCCTTTTGTCGACAAAAACTTTGGTGTAAGAAACAACTCTTGTGTGACTGCTATCCAGTTGAAAAAAATGTGAATAACGCTTAGGCTGGATGCCTGCATGGGGTGAAAATGGGAGTAGAAGGAAGGGAATGCGTGGACATGGCAGGGTGCGGTGGGACTGGGGTGGGGTTATAAAAAAACGAAGACCAGAAGAAAAAGCATATCACACAAGAACAACGAGTGCAGGACAAGCTGTGCGTACGGGATGGCACAACCACCCATTTTGGAATTTTTGTACAGTGAGTCAATGAACGTAGTGTGATGATGGACAACACTAATAATTTTAATAACTCCCTCCCTATATGACTGCATGCTTTACACCAAGCCAATGCTCGTGAATAAAAACACTTTCCTATACTGGTTTGAGGATTGGCACTCACAGCATATGCTGTATTTTCTTTGCGTCTTTTGTGTCACAGGAGTACCAGAATGCCCTCTGCTAATTGTTAATAATGCAGTTGTGTCAGGAGTCTCAACTAGAGTTAACAGTATTCGCAACATCACATGCAATGTCGGGTTTGAGCTTTCAGGTCACTCATTGGTGACATGTCTACCCAGTGGGGATTGGACTACCTTCCCAGTCTGCAATCGTAAGTATTTGCTATTTAAGTGTGTGCGAAATACCCATGTATCATATTTGAGCCCCGGCCAGCGAAAACAAGCACTTGTGTACTTGATATCAATCATCAAAATGTGACGTCAAAGTTTGGGCCGCGCAGTGAGCTGGCTTTTGAAGATTCTTTTTCGATCGAGTGGGTGTCTTTGTTGTCAAAGGAGTTTCAAGTGTCTTCAAATGTCTCTGGTCAATTGATTTTAGCGCTAGGTGAGAGCTTGTCACACGGAGGTTGAGTTTAGACACAGCGATGGCGACAGGTGTCGCGACAAAGACTTAGGTCCAGAGTTGTCAGCGTGAGACTCCCTGTACGAAGCGGCGCTGAAAGTTAGTTCGCGATCGGAATTATTTCTTTGGTGGCGATCTCGCTGAGTTTGTCCAGCAGTGGCGAGTCTCATATGCATAGCAACGAAGAGCCCTCATAAAATCGACACTGGATACTGGTGGCGACGATAGTCAGTGCTGGAGTAATAGCGACTGCGAGGAAAAGCTGATTGTCGACCCGCTGAGCGATCCGTATTTCTACATCGACAACAATGATGTTGCAGACACTGATGGAGGGCTTCTCACGGCGCAAAACAGAGCGTAGTATTATCAGTACTCTACCTTGCCAGACGACGCCAAGCTGGCTGCTGCCTGTGCTGAGAAAGGGGATCCCTAAAAACTCAAACCGGCTGAACGCTTTGGGGCAACATCTTCACGTGCTACAAAACGCGGGTATTCGCTCATATCATTGAAATACAATTATGCTGAAATCTTGGTCTGAGTGAAAGTGTGCAAGGGAGTGGATGTCAGTGGTATTGGTCAGTACATCTATCAGTATGGCAAGCTTTGGGACAATGCTCAAACTGCCTGCACAGAGGTCCCTGAACACAATTTGGAAGGCCAGCCACCAATCATCGTTTTGCACTCTGGTGTTGTAAAGAAGGTAGTGATGTATACGGAATATCGTCACACTTCTGAACTACTCATGCCTGCAGCACCAAGAGGGCAAGCCTGACTTGCATTCTATTTACTTACATGTACCTGTTCCACATCGCAATTAGAAACTGTCGGATCAACTTGCATGGAGTCACTAGGCATGGATGCTGCGCCAACTGTACCGAATCTTGACCTGTGTGACTTCAAACTCTATTTTCCATGCTTTCGCTTATCAGATTGCCACCAAACTTGATAACTTGAATGATTAATAGTGTAGAAACAATTTCGAGGGAAAAAATTTTTTGAAAAAATTACACATGTCCAGGTTTCTGCTGGCTGGGGCTCATTTTTCAAGCAGAAAATATTTACAACCTGGAAATATTTGCTGCTCTGCTCTGCTAGATTGGGATAATAATTATGAACTTCCGTGCACGTATGTTATAAGGAAGTAAGGGTGCGAGCCCTGAAACTTTAGCGGGATTTCCACAACAGTAGGATGGTCATAAGAATGGTGAAAAACGTAGCATGTGGTAAGACGTGCGACTGCCAAACAAAAGCACAACTACGCCATGACAGTCGTTTCACTCAAGGCCATTCCTTTAGATCTGATGCTTGAAGCTGAATCATGGAACCATCAAAACATAGCCTTAACACTTGCTTCAATTTGAGAGTCATTGAAGCAGCCGAGGACGTGAGCAATCTGGCAGCTGGTCATAAATTTGGCATTGATTGAGTCTGCATACATTGTATGCATTTCGTAATGGAAAGCTGTCACTGTGGCAACATACTGTGTGTGCAGCGAGTTAGGGAGGCAGTTCGCACACAAGTATATGGTACATGTCTTTACTCCGGGATTAAACTGGTCAATGGAACCTCTTGTATTGTGGGTTACAGTCAATAACCAACCCAGGTGTACCAACACCAACACGTGAACGAAAACCTTCCTCAAACATGCTTGCCATGCTTCTGCTACGTTAAAATTTTCATAGGATATCTCTACTCCTAAATACGTTCTCTCTGCTGCATACGTCGCTAAAAATTAATATAAATGTTATTTTTAGAGACATATGCAGCAAAGAGACCCTATCTTGGAGTTGACCTACCCTTTTCAGTGTGTATGTGGCTGCAGTGGAGTCTGTGAGTGGTTACAATTTATTTTGAAATCTTGTGAATAAACTTAAAACCAATGTATTTGTGCGGTCAACGGCCCATATCCATAAGATAGACCATACTTTCTCTTGGTCTCTTGCCTTTCAGGAGTGCCTCAATGTCCACTGTTAACTGTTAGCAACGGAATCGTGTCAGGGGGCTCCAATACAGTGAACAGCATTCGCAGCATCACATGTAATGCCAACTTTGACCTCTCGGGAAACTCAATGGTCATATGTCTAGCCACCGCGGCTTGGTCTTCAACTCCTGTGTGCAATCGTACGTGTTTGCTATTTTCTCTTTGTGAAATGTGCCCATCTACATTGGAACTTCTAATATCCTTTGCTAAAGTCACGGTCCATTTCTTGTGTGAAAACCCGCTAGCAACCTGCCAGCGTATCATAAGTTTGCTGTTCATTGTTTGTCCATACATTGTATGCATTTCATGAAAGAAAACTGTCAGTGATGCAACAAACCGTTCGTGCTGCAAGTGAAGAAGGTAGTCTGCACACAAACTATAAATTGGTAGATGTTTGTACTTCGTGACTACAAGTTGCGTGCGGGTGGTATAGCAACCCTTAACCGCATCTCATGTGTCTTCAAGTACCGTCAGTATATACCAGCAGACATACTTTAGCCCATACACAGCTAAGCTTATTTTAGATTTGTTTGGCTCTAAGCTGGTTTCCAACATCGCAAAATACATCTTCTGGATCATCCATTTCCTTGCTGTAGCTTTTCAGGAAGTAGAAAGCCATTCGCCTTTTCTGGTGGTGCGGCACTAGGCTACAGCAAATCAACCCATTCAGCGCTACTGGGCCTTGCCTATGGTACTCTGCATATAAATGCTAAAAACAGTGCCAATAGCAATTTCTAAACCTCCAGGGTTCTGGCAACTGGGGTCGAATCGATACAGTCCCCAAAACGAATAGCCATCACAATAGGGGACACAAGTTTGCTCAAATTCCGTGAAATATGCTAAATGAGTGCACTTGCAGCTGAAAGATTGCTGCAGGCTACCTTTTGTTCATTTATCTCATGGGGTTATTCTAACCGTTTTTTTCTCAGGGTTGTGCCTCCGCCGGGGTCCTGAGGTTTTTTCCGCCAGCTTTGGGCTGGTTAATTATCCGGCGGCCCCATTCACCACAGTGGTTCACCTTTTGCACCATGTAGGTCTGGTACATACGTGTACATGTATATGCGTGAGGTGGCATGCCCTTCTTCTTGCTCATGTATACACTACGCTAAGCTCTTCCTTCTTCCACTGTGAGTGAACAAAGACCACACTACTACTGTGATCTGTATCGTTCTGTTGTGTGTGGGTGTGTCTGCGGTGTACGCAGACGTCAGCTAGCTGGCAAAAAAAGTATCCTGTTTGCATATTTAGCTGGATTCAGTGCATACCTGTCCAGTGGTTAGTGTTTTCTTTCCTTTTTTGCCAATACTGCATATATTGTGCATGTCTTTACTGTCAAGGGGTTACTAGTGCTGGCCCATTGATAGCTGTAGGGAAGTTGGTGGGGTTGCTTTTGTAAAACTCAAGTTGGGATCGACATGATCATGCTAAGTCAGGCACCAAGGAAAACGTTCATCAGGTTTTGGATAATGCTTGGTAAAGTTGCCTATAGAATGCAATTTGCATCTTTGGAGCGTTTTTTACAGCCGGGCTGCTACCAACAGTAATTTGGGAACTTGTGGCCAGGCACAAAGGGTACATGGAAGCGGCAAAAGGAGTTTCTCTGAACTTATGTCAGTGGTTGTGAGACTTATCCCCTCACCCCACCATTAGGCACTGCATCAGCCTCTAAGGTTTACAGGGAGCTAACGGCTGTCATGAGCTCCCTTTGTAAACGGATACTATCATTTACTGCTCTTTGCATGCGGGGAAAGGGACGGTACTAAGCAGGTGTACGTCTTATCTAGATACATACTGAGTGAGTTCCACTGCATGTTCTGTATTTCTTGCAACACCCCAATGCACATTTGGAACACTGGCCAATGTAAAGAGGGTGAGTGTCAGCCAACAAGGGCAGATAAGCAGTGCATTTTCAATTTTGTGACGCAGGAGGAAGGCTGTCATTAGAGTTGGTGGGGCCAGTCACAAGCAACAGCAACCTGTACTTGTAGGTGATATGGAACGCTACATTCTCCTTCATGATTCGGTGTTTTGGTGTGCAGCTCGACCATGCCCTGGCCCACCGAACACCAACAATGGAGTGGTCATGTCTGACCCTTCAGCATCCTATGCATACGGTGACAGTGTATATGTACAGTGCAACACTGGACATAGTGGTAGTGATAACATCACATGCACTGCTGATGGAACCTGGAGCACGTTGACATGTTCTGGTACGGCATTTTTTCCTTTACAATTAATTACTGTATTCCAGAATCCATGGTGGGCCACTGTAGAAGCATCATGAACGTTATTTGGAAGAGTAGATATTAGCAGTAAGGGTGCAATAATATTTTGCTTCTCATGGCTACTTTAACCCCTTCCATGCCGGGCCCCTTTTCTCCAATCGGCCAGCTGTCCAGCGCACTGACTCTCTTGGTGTACATGTAGTTTGCGCGCACAACTCTGAACGAAAAAAATCAGAACCAAGCGAGTCCGTCATGGTAGATCTAAGGGACACAGAAACACCGGGGCCACTTCCACCTCCTCTCCAAACTACTCCACCGTGCCTCGGAATTGCACAACAACTCAATTCAACGTTCTTGTTCGACATCTTGCTCAAATTCAAGCAATTTTCACGATTTGAACTGCGCTGGAAAGCTGAGATCCAAGCGGGTCATTTGATGTGCATCACGCATGCGTAATGTGAAAGGGAAAACCCGTAGCACGTTCCAAAAAACTGCGAAGTCATGAACAAAACAATTCGCGTTCGCTCCGGGCCGTAATTTCCGTGTTCATCCTGTTACCATTTAGAAATTCTTTATCCTATCGCAAAGAACTTGATATCAGCGGAAAGATGCGCTCAAGACCTTTCCGACGATGTGTTGATTGCCGCGATGCGGTTATGTTTCACGGAGTTACGATAGGTTGTTCGCTAGTCTATGCAGTGCGATATAATGGGCGCTCGCTCCCGGCCGTGATTTCCGTGTTCTTCCTGTCGCCGCTCAGTGAGTCTTTAGCCTATCGCGACGAACTTTATATGTTCAGCAATGCCTTTACCCGTACACTTCCTGCAGTGTGAAAGAAGTAAGGCCTGCAGTCCATAGAGAGTATAACCTGGCTGTATTCCCGTAGCTATGAAGAAGACGTTACTTCAGTAACATATGGCTCTAGTCAGGGTCCACACAGCTTTAATTTGGTGTTATTCCAGGAGCTATGCAGAAGACGTTACTTCAGTGACGTCTGGCGCTGGCCAGGGTCCACACAGCTTTAATTTGGTATTTGTTTGTTTGTTTGTTTGTGTTACGCCTGGCGCTATCCCGTATCTGTCCCGTACCGTACCATCAAACACAGCTGGCCATAAACAGCTGGCCACAATATTTGCTGGCTCCCGTATCTGTCCCGTACCGTACCGTACCATCAAACACAGCTGGCCACAAACAGCTCCCCGCAATATTCTTCTTATTATGTATACGACTCCCTGATGTATAGGGATACTTTCTGGAAAGAAATAGGGAAACGAGGAAGAAATGCAATTAGAATGGACGTTAGTTGCCGAATAGGTGATAGGATGCGTCAGCAAAAACATACTTTGGAAGAGAGATCCCGTTGTCTCCTTGAAGGGGCGAGTCAGAGCCGGTCAGAGGAAACGTAGGAAGAGAGATCCCGTCGACTCCAGAACGCCCGTGATCGGCGGAGTCAGCGCAGGTCCCAGGAAACGTCAGGACAGACATCCCGTCGACTTCAGAACGCCCGTGATCGGCAGAGTCAACGCCGGTCCCGTAGCTATGCAGTAGACGTTACTTCAGTAACTCGTTGAAACGTGTTTGCAATACAATGATGTAGCTAATCAAAGGAAAAAAAACATTTCCATCAGTTCTAACAACATGCATGATGAGCTAGGCAACAAAGCATAGCGTAAGGCCCTGAGCTTCCAAGCTCTCTTGTTTGTTTGTTTGTGGCAGACGGATCTCCATCTGGCGCTATCCCGTATTTGTCCCGTACTGTACCGTACCATCAAAGACAGCTGGCCACAAACAGCTGGCCACAATATTCAAATTGGGCTTTAAATGCAAGATCATGACGTGAAGCAACTTGGAAGAATTAGTATGAATGCGAAGTGTATCGGGTATTGCATGTAGGGCGATTGTGCGGGTTCAAATCCCAGGTTATGCCAAAAAAATAGGGGAATTGAAAAATTACTATGCTTTTTTGCCTAGGTTATCAAGGTGGCAGGCGGTGTCGTATTACCCTCGACCGTACCTGTCCCGTAAAGTACCTTACCATCAAAGACGGCTGGCCACAAACAGCTGGCCCCAATATTCAAAGAGGGCTTTCAAATGCAAGATCTTAACTTGAATCAATTTGGAAGAATTAGTATGACTGTATGCGAAGTGTATCGGACGATGCATGCAGGGCGATGGTGCGGGTTCGAATCCCAGGTTTTATCTTGATAATAAATAGGAGAAATGAAAAATTTACTTTGCTTTTTTTGCCTAGGTCATCAAGGCAAAAACGCATAGCGTAGGGTCCTGAACTTCCAAGCTCTCTTGATTCAGCATGTTGGGCTGGTATTTTACGGGAGGTATTCGACAATTACATTCGGGGGAGTCTTATTTACTCACCTCCCATGCCTAGGAGCTACATCTGCACCTTTATCCACAAAGGTGGTGGCATACACACGGATGCGAAAATCTCGGCCTCCAGCCCAATTTAAGGGGGAAGTTAAGCCCAAAAGCCTGTTTTCACCAGTTGCAGTTTTCGGGTTGATGAGTCGAATGCCATGGTCTTGGTCCGAGGAAGCTGAGACACCCCCTTCCTCCTTTATTCCAAATCAAACTCGCCACTTCTACCGAAACTGGGTGATTGTGCCCAACTAGATTGGGATATGCATCTAAAAGCGCCATTTCGTTCCTATAGAAGCACGGATAACTGCGATTGGCCCACTGGTTTTGGTCCGAGAAGGCTGCGATGCAGAATTCGGTCCTTATTCCCAATCGAACATGGTTGAATAAGCGGTCACGTTCTCATGCGTACACCAGTCACCTGGTCACCGTGACTGCAAGCCAAAACTTTCACAACAAGGTTCAACTCAAAGGTTTGAAGGTTCAACTCGAGTGACAGGAATACGCTCCAACAGGCTAAAAGAAACGTGTTTCTAACTTTGCCGCTCAAGTATTTCGCATAGCACCACAGAAAATGATGCACATCTTGAAAGGTCTTTCCCTCAGCTTTCCAATCAAAGAAATACTGCCACAGTTCCATATGTTTTCTTTTGTAATGAAACCACAAGTTCTCCAGAGTGAAAGGCCTTCTCGCTTGTGACATTGTGTTCGTTTCAATGCAGTTGTATCTCGACTCCGCCGTACCCCTGATGTTTACGACGTGGGATACGCTACGTGCGCTATGTGCGATTTTCTGTTTGCGCTGTAGTTGTATGTTTTATGCATATGCTTTTCTGATATACGCTGTCATTTTCACGCTATAACTACCCTGTGGTTTTAGTGTTTGTTTTTATTATTCGATCAAGTGAAATATACTGTCAAGAGTTAATAGTTGTCCTCGTGCTGTGTGGTCGTTCGTTCCTGACTTTTAGAGTACCAGAAGGGTTCGCAACATTTGGCGACCACACCACGATCGAAGTGAGCATGGCAGAGGAACTACATCATTTGGAAGCCAGCTTTATCGCCAACGGAATTCGATATGGATTTGAAGGCGATGGGTTGATGGGATACGTGGAGAAGAGGCTCCGACAGTGCGAGAGCGCAGTTCCAGACGGCAAGTGGGTGCGCTCCGCATAGAGTTTGACGAAAAGCTCGTCAAGAAGATGATCGAGCGCATCGCCAGGGTGCATGAGGGTGATGGTGACGCCGCACGTGTGAGGGGGAGGTACAGCGGAGGCTCCCTGTCACAGCGGTGAGAATAGGCCTTTAATGAAAGTCCCGACATACGATGGAAGTCAGCCACTGGAGCGTCATCTCGACCTGTTCGAGGACATTTGTGTCAAGAACGAAAAGGAACTGTATTGGCTGCTGTATCTATCAGGAAGCAAAGTGAGATTTGCTTGCCTCGCTCGGAAGGACGCAAGAAGTAGAAGCGCAAGAAGTAGAAGCGCAAGAAGTATAAGTTCAAGAAAGAGAACAAGGAGAAGCTGAGGACAGGAGAAAGGCGATACTGCTCAGCAAGGAAGAAATGAGCGGCGAGACTGTGTGGAACACGGAGATCGGATGTGTGTTATCTTGTTCAGCGCCGGGCCCGGATCGAAGCAATGGACCAGTGACCGTGTCGTTTGTCAAAGTCCACATCGATAAGCGTCATGAGTTGACTGAAATGGTGTTCACTGATATTGCACCATGGCCACCACTGCAGCACCAGGTTACGCGTAGTGAGCCTCGAATCGCTTGACTTGTCAGTTGTGGTACGACGGTGTTGCGAAACCACAAGTTCTCAAGAGTGAAAGGCCTTCTCGCTCGTGACATTGTGTTCGTTTCATTGCAGTTGTATCCCGACTCCGCCGTATTGCTGATGTTTACGACGTGGTATACGCTACAGGCTCTATGTGCGGTTTGCTACATTTTTCAGTTTTCTAGTGTGCTCAACAAAGTAACAAGTTAGTTTCAAATTCCAAATAATTTCTCGATCGGCGCATTCTCTGAGTATACTCAAATGTGGCCGGTTCTCCACGGAACCGACGTGGATCGACTGCGACATGTCTCACCTTGACGAAGAGTCAGATCGCACTCGTCTCAGCAACATATGGGCGACTTCAAGCACTTAAAAGTATATCGATATCGCATTTTTCTCAGAAACGGATCTACTCGTCTATAGGAATCCAGCAAAACGCAAGCTCATCACACCCTTCCCCTCATTGCGTTACATATTCTTCTATATATATTGGTCATATTGCACTAGCACCACCATTCCTTCCTGATTCTGGACGACAAACTACTAAAACTACTAATCAACCTGCCCAATTACCTTCTTCCTTCTCAGTGCTCTCACTTAACTGCCGCTCCGTAGTAAATAAGTTAGCTGAGCTTAGTCAAGTCTGTGAGCAGTATTCTCCAGACATAATCTGCCTATGTGAAACGTGGCTGACAGCTGCCATAGACGTCTCAATTCCAGGCTACACGTCATACCGCCTGGACCGCCCACCTACGACCAGCTCTGATAACCTTCCAGCAAGAGGCTATGGCGGTGTTGCTACTCTTGGAACTGACAGGTCGCTCATGTC